GAAAGATATGTTTAGAATTGCTATTTGAACATATCATAAGAAAACATTGTACATATAAAACCAAGTTTTCTATGTGTAAAATGAGTTTCAAAAACTCCCATACAAAAAAACATCAACCATGACAGCCATGACGTCAGGCTGACGACAGGCCTGACGTCATGGCATGACGTCATACCTGACGTCAGGCATGATTTGACAACCCTAAATATTAATTTAATAGACATTGAAAAACTTGTTTAAAAGCAGTAATCAACCCTGCATAGAATTCATTGTGCATCTTTCTGAGATAGAATCAAGATGAAGCTAACATTGATTACTTGTGTCGTGCTGTGTTTTGTGAAGCTATCTTATCAACTGCCTTACGGAGCCAGAGGATCAAGTTCATCACCAATCAACAATCATCAAAGTCCAATACAGCCTCAATATATAACTGGAACTGAAAGTCAATTGGGAAACACTTTCAATAATCCATCACCGAATAATGGTAATAGTTATAATAACGGTGGAAGATTTCCAAATTCATGGAAAACTGGCAATTCTGAAGGATCAGGAAATTATGGTGGAGGATCAATAGTCTTTCCAGACAATAACCACGGAAAATCATCAAATCAAGACCATACTCATCATCGAGGTCAAGAAGTGTTAAATAATCCATCATCAAATTTCGTTCCATATTCATCAACAGGCTCACATGGAGTTGGTCATGGATATTCACCATCTCAATCAAGCAACACATATAATTCAGGAATAAATAAAGGTTTTGGAGGTAATTCTGCTTCAACAGGGAGCAGAGGTGAGTATTCTCTTTGTGAAAATTAAAAATAGAAAAGTATTTTACTTTTAATTTTCTTAGATATTCCAAATAATTTTGGTAGCCAGAGCCCAAATCAAAGAAACCCACAACATTCAATTAGTGGTGCTGGTCTTAATCAAAATCACAATCAAAGGGGACAAAGTCAAGGCTCTCAGAACCAGTATGAATCACCAAATGATTTAAATTGGAACAATCAAAAACTGTTCAGAAATCAAGGAGGTTTCAATGGTTTAAACTCGCAAGGAAATATCAATCCAGGACATAATTTACGTCCTAGCTCAGGTTATGATAGATCAAACAATCTCAACTCAAATGGATTTCCAACATTGAACAATGACGCCTTTGAAAAATCAGAAAGTTTTTCTAAGGGACACAATAGCTATTCACAAACCTCAGCTAATACTGTTTCTTTAACTCAGACCAGTGTTCCATCATATGGTTAAAAAGAAATCACAAAATTGCATATTTGTAATTATGAAAATTAATTTATAAAATATTTTGAAATTTTAAAAGCAAAAATAGCATTAACTTCATATTCCTCCTTGTGTCAAATGAAATAAAAATGAAAATGAAGAAGAATTCGAATATCTACTTATTAGATAGCACTGAAATATAATGAATTGATAAAATGATTTTTACTTCAGATTGAATATGAAAGAATAAATTAAATTACAAAAATTAGTACAATAATATTTTTAAACAGTGAAATTAGGCAAGAAACTCAATTGAATCAAAGAAAAGTTGATTTCGTCGATTCATCAAATAGTTTGCATGCCTACAGAAATTGTTAGCGAGTTAGTGTTACAATCAAAAGAATGTAGGAAAAAATTAATTAAATTTAGTGAAAATGAAGTTAATTATATTAAACAGAGGAAATAAGTTTCTATTTCGCTTTCGAAAAATAAAAATAGTTTCATTTAATCAATCAAAAGCTCTTTTTTTATATACTATTCATGATCTATCGAAATTAAATTCAATTAATAATTTTCAAAAGTTTCCTTCCTATATTAACAATCAGAAGAGCAAAGAGTTTAAAAGAATTGCATAATATTTCACGCTACACGCATTACGAAGTCAAACCAACAAGCGTGATTTTCTAAAAGCAGTTAACAGTTTGTGTTCATCTTGCTACGGCACATTTCTTACAACACTAATGAACGATAAGCATTTTAATTGTAGTCATTTAAGCGAATTCAATCGCCTTAATTTTCATTTCTCTTGAAAACGTGTAGACTTTACCATCTCGGTATTCAAGTTGTCACAGCACGTTCGACAATCGTTCTTCATTTTGCGAGAAAAGCTATTTATGTATTTGCACATAAATATCAATTTCTTCCTTCAACTTGTAATATGGCTACATTGACTGTAAACTAATAAAATAAATTGCAAATTTCTACTCACTTTCTCCAGTTGGCGAAGACTCTAATGTCCACAGTTGTTTCTTTTTTAAGCTAGCGCCGTTTGCGTTTAACTTAAACCCGAAAGTCTCAGCAGTCATATATTTATGTTGGGCATTGATCAGCCCAATAGTCCACCATCCCTTTTGCTGGTTTTGTGATAAAATATCACCATTCGAATAGTCAAGAGCTCCATTCATCATAATGAATTGTCTGTTATCCCACTGCTTGATTATCGGCTAGTTTTTCTGAACGAAATCTGTAAAGATTAATGCAAGATCATCAATTAATTTTAAGTTGAACATTGCGTGTTGAATTCATTGGATTTCTTAACAAGGAGATTAACTTACTAAGCAAAAACAAATTAAAATATTTACAGTCTGATTTCTTAATAAAAGAATCTCGTAATTTTTCAAACACCCGTTGTGCTTTTTTGTTTAGTTTGTTAAAATTTTATTGCGTAAATATTAAGAAGAGCTAATTGGTGTAAGTTTTTGATTTTCTTGTCGACCTGTTAATTCTTTTCTACAGAAACTGGTTCTAGAAATCGAAGAATCAATTGAAGTTTGCTTCTATCAACGACTCATCTCATTGGATGTCATAAAAAACAGGAAATTCTTCTTTAAATATTTTTCAATGAACATATTAAAAGTGAATAATTTTTATATGAACTTCAAGTGTCGAGACATTGGCTGTTTAAAGAAAAAACAAAGTTTTTATAATTGATTTAAATTTCATGTTCAACTCATTTCCTGCGCGATTAAAATGCGTGACAAATTCTTTTGATGCAACATGAGATTGAATATTTTTCTGCCTACATATATTTAAATAGACAATTAAAGACTAAAACTTTTTTATTTAGAAAACTGTTTTGATAAGCGTTATAAATTTCATGGAAGCGTTCATTTGCTGAAGAGTTGCGTAGATACTTAAAAAAAAAAAACAAGAAACTTGCTATTTTGAACGGAAAACAATACGAAGAATAAATTAGTAGTTTTTTTATTCTTACGACTACTTAATTATTCTGACTAGAAAATTGTTGCTTATGCGATTTCTTTTCTAATTACTTTGCACTAAGGAGAAATTTCACGCTTGTCATATCACATCACAATGCACACGGATGATTTTCCATGCGAGACACAAATTTCATCGCAATTTTTAGTAGCAAAGTAGGAAGCATAAATCACCATGCATATATGCTTTTTTATAAGTTATCGCAAACTAACAACAAGTTTACTTTTTTGATTCGATTGAAATTTATGTTTTATGATTAAGAATTGCTGATATTTTAAAATGAAGAAACTCTTTTGCAGGAGCTCTTTATTGTTAATGTCACCATTAATTTAGTCAAGAAGTATTCTTCCGAGCAAGATAATAAAAAAGTATAATTAATAAATTTACACAGATGGACAGGTTAGAAAAAATTAATTAAATAAAATTTTTATGATCTTGCTTGACAAATGTAGACTGATAATTATTGCACTTTAAATCATTTATAATTGTTGGCTTTTCATTATGCCTCTCAAATGCATTATGAATTATCAGGACGGATTTTAAATATATGACGATCATAAAAGAATTTAAATGAGTTCAGAAGAGAATGTTGAAACTAAACAGTAAAGTATCCACGATTAAGTTGGACAATAAAAGTATTGACAATGTTAAACGAATTTTATGTAAACTTAATGATGCTGCAATAGAACTGAAAGCTTGTAAATTTTATTGTTCCCATAATTCTAGTGATCTACATAAATGAATTCCACACTCGCACTTATAATCATTGTTAATTAATCTTGAAATTCAACATCAAGAAAAACCAATCACAGCTGTTAATTTTCTTCTTTCCATTAATAAGAAAAATTAATCAAAATGATTAGAAATCGTTTTTGTATATTTCATTTAATTTTACTAAAAGTTTATTATTCTCTTGAATATGAAGAGACGCAGACTTATGCAGCATTTGTACTGCTATTAATTTAATGAACAAAGAATTTGTTACACATCCAATGTGATAACGGGTCTCTGCTTTCTTATTGCAAGTATTAAAGTATGAATTACTTACTTATGTAAGCATCTAAAGCAGTTTGAAAATGTTTTAGCGGATTTTTATGCATCCTGTTAGTGTTTAAAAAACAAATGCAAATGACTCTTCAAGCATCCGCAAAGTATCATGTCTGTCAACACAAGACACAAGACAATATTATTGAAAGTCAAACACATAACGATGACAATGAAAAGAGAAATTGTTTATCTCGATTTACTTTTTTAAGAAGTAAGTAGAGATTACCTATCGTCAACTACATATTAAGTGATGGTGCTTCTATATTTTCACTTTAGTGGATCGTTCGACGGGCTACTTCTATCAAGACTCCATTAAATTATTTTGAACAAACGTTTTTAAATGTAATGTTTCACGAGTGAACGACTCCATCGAATAAATATGAACTAACAACAGAAGTGAATGACAAAGTTAACTGAAGTTTCCATCATCATGGGAACATCAGTCGGGTGTGGTACGAGTTTAGTTCTCGCACTATTTCTATTTTGGAGATAAGTGTTGAGAAGAAAATAAAAACTCATCACGGGCAAGTTTGGCCAAACTTGCTGAGAACAGTTCGTTCTACCCATTACTGATGATGAAGATGATGACAAAGTCACAAAGTCATTTGCTTTTGCAATGAAATTCAATCTCGTGAAAGTACAACAATCCCAACATGCATTTGTTCCAGACATTTTCAATAATTTTTCTTTCATTTGCATTTATTTTTGGCATGTGTCGTTCTTGTTGTCGTTAAATGCTAAGACTAAAAAGATTATTTTGAGTCAGAGAATGTCAACAGCACTTTTCAAACATCAACCCTCATTTTATATGACGTCTTGTCTGTTTTTTTTCTTCGCTGAATCTGAAAATGAAATAATCAATGCAACTTGATAGAGTAGGAAACGATGTCAAACATCTTCTTCACTTCTGATTCTTTTTATTCATTAGGTTCAAAATTTATCCGTCAAATGTGTTTGTTTCACATTGTGTTTACCATCATAAATGAATGTGTCGACTTCATGCGATAAATATTTTAAATTCTATGGGGGTATCAGCAAGATATGGATATCCTTTGAGCGTGACAAACATTTAAAAATTTCTATTTCGCATGTTCTGAATAATCTTATTATTCTATTTGCGACTCTATAGAAATGACTGTAAAATTAAGAAAAAGAAACACTCATCATTACAGCCATTTATTATTGAACATTAATTGCAATGACTTGTTGAATCAACTTCAAGTCCTAATTTTTTTTCAAAAAAACTAATCATAAGGAAATCATAAAATATATCCATTGACGATTTTGTTTTCCTCTTTGGTGTCAAAACTATTGAAGCTGATTCAGTTGGTAAAAGTACGATTACAATTTTTGTTGCAATAGAAAGTTGTCAAGCTTTTGCTTTGATAACATTATTACTGCTGGAAAAGAAGCGACATCTGTACGGTGTAAGAATGTCGTGAACTTCACTTCGCACAAATACTTTTTAATGATTTACCGCTCAAACTCTATCAAACTGGTTTTCACCAGTTGCCACTGTTGCAGCCATCGTTAAATTATAAGGAGCTTAAATAATCATTTTGCCTTAAAATAAAATTCATGTTGCGATATTTAATCACTAGGTGAGACTGGGAAGTAAAACAATTGGAAAAATATGACCGAAGAAAGAGAAAAAAAAGAGTAATTTCATGAACATGTCGGTGGCATTGAGCAATCATGATGATAATAAGAAGAAAGCTGATAGAAGTTGAAGCTGATCAGTGGTTGCTATTGTGTCAGATGCAAAATATATAAATATAAAACGGTATATGATTGAATATGCTAAGAAATAATTGGTTGAAATCTGATGAGTTTAAGTAAATTTTATCAAATAACTTTTTATAAAAACTGTGATTGAAAATCAGTCAATTCAATTTATTTTCTTTCAAAGAATGTCAATTATCGTCACACATGAACACTTTTTACTTACATAGATAAATAACTGAAGCAAAAGTGAAAGAAGTTAAACAGATGTTATTCTCTTCTTTATCAACTGATCCGGATCTTTCCACTTATTCTATGCATTTATTTTTATTTTTTATACTATGCAGCTATTTTAATTCATAAATGAAATAAATACCACATTGAGCTGAGGTGATCATACATACATACATAAATAATAAACATGAAGCTTTGCATAAGTAATAAATTATTGCATCGTGCTTCTTACTCACTTGTTGACGCTGAATTTAATACTGAACGGAAAGTTTCGCCTCTCATATTTCTTCAGTTTTTTAATGAAAATTCATCAAATTTGTAATGAAATGAGGAATAAAACTTCGTTAGATATCATTTATTTTAAAACAAAAAAAAAAATTCGGGAGACAATTAAAATTTTGCACTTGAAGCGATAAAATTTTTAATGTTTTCATTTTGATCAATTTTTAATTAAAACAGGGGAATGTATTAATGCACCAATAATAAAAGAATTCTCGGAGATACCAATAAACTTCATTTTTTTATGGTCACAGTGATCGCGTTCAATTTTATATCTTTTCCTTATAAAAATATCGTTATAAGAAATGAAAAGTAGTATTAAATCAATTTCAATCTACATTTTGTCACATCGAATGAAATCTGTTAGGATGCAACATGCTTCTGACACGTCGTTGATTCTTTTAATATTGGCGATAATATTTCATGACTGTACATTAACAGTACTGTAATGAATAATTACATTATGGTTTTACATATCTAATTATCTAACACGCTTTTCTAATGACCATTCTACTCAGAATTATTACTCTTAATGCCAATAAATGAGACTAACATCCGTTCAATTTGCCTTCAATCCTCTTGGTTTCTTATCATTTTTTTTTAAAATAATTCGAATAGAAAACGAAACTTTCAAAATTCCAATTGTTGCCCTCAAAAAGCAAAATGATGATGTGAAATATTAATTAAAGCTATCGATGCATTAAGTCAGCTGATGATGGAAATTGGATTGCGCGTGACTGCAAGCAACATCCAGTCAACGAACCAAACATCCAATCTCTCAATAGAAGAGCTTTTATCGATTGAAAAGATGTTCTTTCACACCTTGTCTGAAATAAAATTTCTAAAGCTGATGAAGAATTAAAAATTTCACAATCGCCATTCATCGTCTTTATGTTGATTATTTAGAGACTGTTAAGTTCGATGGAAGAAGATTCAAAATATTGCGATCTCAGACGAATAGTGAAGGTAATTGAACACGAAAAAAAAAAATTAACCACAAAATAGGTAACAGCCTAAGTTAACTGTTTAGTTTCATAAACACAACTTTTCCATTGCCTTTCTGCTTTATTTTCTAACTTTTTTCATTTCACGTTTTTCATCAATGCGCTCTCGAGCGAAATCTTTTCATTCGTGTTTTTTTTCATATTTTAAGACAGTTTCAATAATTAACAATTTTTTATCTTTGCTTCTTAACTGCCGTTTATTTTCATTTCTTTTCTTTTTTTTCTTTCTTGATTTTCATCGGCTTTGATCACAAGCGAGACTTATTGGATTTCCCCTAAATTATTTATTCACTTCACCTTCAATAAGATTTGTTTACGTTTTTCGACTTGAAAATAGTCCATTTATGAGACAATGTGATTGTATTTGTTTATACTTAAGTCATTTCCCATCTGCAGTTTAAGTTTTCGTTTCCTTTATACGCACAATATTTCAACACATCGGCATTTTCAGTCGGATGGTAATTTTAAGGAAATGAAGTTAAGAAACGAGATAAGAATCATAATAAAATGCATAACGATAGTCAGACGAATAGTTATGTATTAGGTAGTTGGAGGTTTGATTTAATCCATTAATCAATCCTAAAAGTAGTGGCACACCTTCATCAGACAATGGAATAAATTATTTTCTCGCTTTGAAAAACGTCCCTTGACCTTCACTCGCTTATTTTTGTATAACATGTGCTGCCTTTTCTCTTTTGTCTAGGGTTCACAATAAACATAAAAAAAAGATTTTTCCCTGTGTTTGCAATTTGCAAAAAAACACACGACGAGCATGTTCAAGAAACGATAAAGAAAGAGATAGAAAAAGAGACAAAGTGAGGGAACCTTAATGTTCAAAAATAGTTCCCTTTTTCTACTCGTGTCACTTTTTTAATTAAAAGATGTTCCTTTTCTACTATAAGAGTCATAAAAATAGTTTTCTCTTGGATAATACGAAACAATTTGTGAATGAAGAGAAACAGAAAATATGATTGACTTTCTTTATAAGCTTTTATAAGCAGATCAATTAAGATGGTTACCATAACGATTGCCAGACATGAAAATTTCACATGCTCTGCTTTCGTGGGAATGGATAATATTCTATTGATCACTTTGTCATCACATTAAATCTACACGAATCTATTTTATGCTCAAGTCACACGTTTAGATTTGTAATGATACAAATCTTTACAATATTTTTATAACTTTGTCATTACAACCCTTTTTTTGTCCTACATAGGTACTGTATAAATGAAGCAAAGAGTGCTGCACTTGATAATATAACACAAAAACTTTTATGTAGACTTCAGTACTTCTTCTTTTTTTTCGACAAACAAATTGCAAACACACCTATACAATTCAGCAACAAAAATTATTCCTTTTTTACTTTCCATCTCAAAAACAGAAGAAATTTTATTTTATAAAAGAACAACATTGATTTTAATGCACACGCATGCCCTAAAATTTGTTCTTATTTTCACCCCCAGCGTAGTTGAAAACTTTATTTCAAAGTCTTCTTCTTTTATTTATCGGCTGTTTCCGGCATTTCAACAAAGCTTGCTGCAAATCGTGAATTAAATTGATCAGGATTATTGTTTGGACTCACCGAAAGTTGTTAGACAAAATAAATAACTCCAATTAGATTTGATGTTTATCCAAAATTTAGAAACGGGAAATTTTGATGTCTACACAGAAAAAAACCAAATTTACAATTTCTGAATGAAAACTTTTTAAGAAATTCCCAATTTTTGATTCTTTATAGAATTTTTTTAACACAATGTAATATAGCAAGGATTTTGTTATGAAATATATTTATTTATCGGGACAATTACTTATCAGAAAAACTTCGATCCGAACTGAGGTAATGACTAAGACTGATTTACAATTTTTTTTCAGTCGAATAAGTAAACTCTTCTGGAGAGAAAAAAAGAGAGAAAAATGATGATTCAGGGGGATTTGAAGCAATGGAAATAACATTTTTATAAAAAGCGCTAACAATTCAACAAAGCAATGTGTCCCTTGTATTTGTTTAAATCAATTTATAGTTTTAATTTCAAAAAAGCTACTAAAGAGTAAAGACAATAAAAATACTACCTAATTTGGATAAATATTACTTTTTCTAGGAAGAAACATTTATTAAAGGTCTGGCAAAAGCACTTTGAGTGCCCCTTGAGTCTGATCAACTCTATCCAATGTTTCAATGTTTTTCTTAAATGTGACCGAGAATGCATATTTTCGGCAGCATTTATGAAAAACATTGAAACATTGGAATTGAATGTTAATTCAGCCAATTCCACGAAGGGTATGCAGGGTTTTTCCTTTACAACTTCCTAAAGAAACGCTTTTTAAATTGAATGCTTTCAGTAGATTTATACAGCCTTAACTCCTTTATCGATTGGCGTTTACATATTTGTATTTTAAATGAGGCATTTCCAAGATATTCATACCTATCATGCGCGTATTCTTACTTTCTGTGTTTGATAGGTTGCAGTAGATTGACAGCCTTTTTGTTTATTTATCAAAGACTCAGTGACGTCGGGCTACCCGTGGATTTCTTGCGCGGATTTGACCTTCCATACAAAATGACTATTTCGGCAAGTCCGGCGTGATTTGTCGCGTCCAGGTGTGATAATTACACCCTCCACCTGAAACTAACTTTGGAGAGGACGAGTTAAAATATTTATATTTTTTATAAATAAACAATGTTCTTTGTTTTGCAGCATTTTTGAAATTTTTTAATTGTTATTTAGATCCAGCATTCAAGATTAACAATTAAATCTTGATCTACTTTAGGATTAATTTTCTTAGTACTTTACTGGAAGTTAAAGCAATCGCTTGTGTACAAGCTGGTTGTTGATTTTTTTTTAATTTTAATGAAAAGAACAGGAAAACGCTTACTTTAAAATGAACACTTGAAGAACATTTTTCATCTACTGTACATCTATTGAGGGCTGTAAGTATTCCAGGATGATCTTTTCACAGGTTTCCCTGGCTATAAATACTTTAAAATTTCAGAAAATTTAATCATCAAGTTCAATGAAATTTTCTACATCTCCACTATAAAGACAAATGCAGTCGAATAAAATTTTCATCTTCAGTGATAAAATTTCATTTTAAGAAACATTCCATGTAGGTAATATAAGAAAAGTTCATATAATTTTGGTTTAAAAAAAAAGAAAGTAAAGCTATTTAAGAAATGAGATTTTCATGGTACGTATTGTGCATCATGTTTATTAGAATACAGTAGAAAAAAGTATTACTTTTATTGTTGGTTTCAACTAACATTATAATTTTTCTTCTTATCTTTGTCAATCATTCATCGAACATATATTTAAGAGTATCCAGACCATCAACAAATTTTGGTGAAATATAAAAATATACAACATTCATTACTTGCAGATAATGTTAACATTTTTTTGTCGTGCTTATTTCTTTTCTTTACAATTAGGTACATACATAGAGAATGATTTCTTTCTTAAAATCAACATAAGTTCGAATATAATTGTTAATAAGTCGATGCAAATAGAAATTTTTATGATAAGAAAACCTTAACTATGAATCTACAAATTGCGTTTGGTGATCGAACAATGGAATCAATTAGGTAGTGGAGAATTTTTTAAAACTTAATATCTTTTTTACCTTGTTTTTTACAATCATCAAATTTTTTTTCAAGTTTAGACTCATTTTCATGTCAGTCAACTTATTAAACAAATTTATTTAATGCTTGGAATGTTTCAGAAGAATGACAGATATTAAGTCGATTCCTCAGCTCAAAAAATAAGAAAGCAAGTAAACGTTTCAGTTAAAATATCTATATAAGAAAATAAAGATTATGATATCTAATAAAACTAGACAGAAGAGGTTTTGTTATACCTGCATATCATAATTTCGCTAATTAAATGTTGTCGGTGTTCAAATTATGTTATTTATATTGCATTTTATCAACTTGATAACTATACAGATCTTTGAATTACGTGATGTTCATGATTTAGATTGTATGTATTGTTTTCATTAGTAAAAGAAGGGAGGGAAAGAAGAATGAAAGAAGCTATCAATCAATCACATCATGCCAATCATAAAATCGGATGAATATAAGTACAAAATATAAAGGATAATATTTAAATTTAGTGTGATGGTGATGATAGTTGCGAAGATATTTGAAAAGAAACTTCATTGAAAAATGTCGCTTCACATGTGAATTGTTGCTGCCGTGTATCGAGCTTCTCCACGTCGCCAAGACCATGCAACTGGTCTTCCATATTGAATAAGAAATTGGCCACTGCTAGTATGTGGATGTGTGTAAGCATAAAATACCCAGCAAACAACTATGAAAACAATCGCTAAAATGGAACAAACGGCAGTAAAAAATCCAGCACTTGATTTTTCAGGTTCAAGTTGCGTGACTGATGATGCGCTTTGTGATGTACTTTCGCCATTTTTTGGTTGATCTATATTTGATTGAGATGTGGTTGTTGTTATATTCGCTAATCCTAAACACATTTTGACATCGGAAATCTGTGTTCTATCGCAACCTTAAAAAAGGAAAAGACAGAATTTTTAATTCCATAATAATATTACTAACTTTTATTTTACCAGAATTTGTCCACTCTTGTCGCTTTCTATCAACTCCACTCGAACATCTTGATAATGACGGACACCAATTACATTGAAATTTAATTTCATTTTCCAAACAAGATTCGCAGTCATTGAAACCGTGGCATGTTTGTAATGGTGTTAATCTGATGTATTTAAAAATTAATATATAAATTTTCCATATTAAATGTGTACATATCTTCTGTATTCTCACCTTATTAATGTTGAATTAGTGATTTGATTTCCTGCAAAATTTACACGATGATATTCAAAAATAGTTTTCCTACGGGCATTAACTACCGTCTTATCTATTATGTAAGCATCACTAACTCCAACTTTTACAGGATGCTTATCTGAGAATTATATTAATTTATAATACAAAAACAAATGTCTCAAAATATAGAAAGTTAAAAACTCACCATCATCAATAGACTTAATGTCGATTGGTAAATAATAGTAAGCGAATACGATGTCACCGTTGTTATACAGTGAGGCACTGAAGGTAAAAGGCCCAACTTCAGGCTTGTTTTGGAGAAGAACTTGCTCCCAATAAACATGAAATGAAGTTTCTAAAATTTAAAGCCCCAAATGCAGTCTAAATTAAAATGGAATTATTAGATAGCGTTAGAAAATATTCTCACCGTCTTCACAATATTTTACATATGAATCATTTGACAAACTAGTGTCAAAATTTGCCATCAGTGGGCTGATATATTGTGTAGCTGCCAACCAACTATGAATGTAATCACCAGCATAAATAAATCCACCGGTAGCGATGGTGATGTTGGTTATCGGATGACCATAAAAAGGAAATTCAAACTTTAACTTCACAGTCATTGCACGTCGATGTGACTTCGATAATAACTTGTTGATTGTCAAATTTGAACAATCAGCATAAATACTTTCACGATGGAGATTTGTGAATCCTTCATTCTGCACAACTGTGCTGTTGTAATATTCATGAAAATCTTCATCAATTTGTGTGATATTGTTCTGCATAAATGTTTGATTTCTTTGCTCATCACCAATATCAATGTCAGACCATTCGATTTTCGGTCCATTTTCACTACTTTCAGAAATATTTTCTGGACGATTCGATGCAGGTATACGAATTTCCGGCGATAGCGATGCTGGTAGTGTCAATTTTGTTGTCGTCACTAGTGGACTAACAGATGGTGCTATGTCAGGTACATTTGTACTGCTGATAATCGGTATATTTCCGCTACTATTAATTGGTGGCGCTATCTTCTCATTAAAAAGTGTTGACTCCGATGAAACTACAAAAAAATCAAGAATAAATAAAGTTAATGTCAGATCGTAGAGTTGAATGAATTCAATCAAATATAATCAAGCGTTGTTTAGAATTAATATCACATTGTTGAATTCGAGTAAATATAATGGGGAAACGCGTCAACAATTAAAAACATTAATGAACTTTCGTGATCACTTTATTCGATCTTCAAAACTCGATATTCATTATAAGCAATTACAACAAAAGAAAAAGTTATCATAATAATAAATATCAGATATTAAGAAAAAATAACAGGAACAAGTTTTAGTACATATCTAATTAATTTTTTGACAACCTATGCTGTTGATATTTTTCCTTGGGAGTAGAAAAGTGAAGCAAGGTAAAACAAGATGAAAGAAAATATCAAGGCGGCGCTTCATTGTGTTGGTCAGTGTCAGGAATTACGTCACACGACCCTGAAATCTTCTTAAGAATTTTTTCAAGCACATCTGATTTCGGTAAACGATTAATTACTTCAAATTTAAACATTGATTTTTCAGTGCTCAAAACCCATCTACTACCTAGTTTATGCATTTTTTTAATTTTATTTGGAAGCACCAGTGAAATTTATTGAAGAAAATCTGGAATTCTTACTTATGACTTTTAGTATAGTTCTGAAATAGAGTATAACATTCATGTCAATGTGCCATAATCCCTGACTATATTTTTAGCACTATTATACGTTAATGAGATTTATACAGATTTTTAAAAAAAAACTTAACAAGAAGAACAATTCTTCATTATTCTTACATGTCTTTTGAATGACTTCTGCTGTCACAGACTCACTAACGGTGAATAAAAATATGTAAAAACAATTTCAAAAATCATCAGACTTTGTGAAGCAAAAACTAATAAAGAAAATCGATTTGATTTTTTTCTCGGCACATTTAACACACTTAAACGTGGCGTATTATGCTCAATTACTTTGTTTTTGGTGAGATTACTCATTGACCACGAGACACAAGAAACAAGAGCTATTTTAGATTTTTTTTCTAATCAAAATTAAATTTCAGGGAAAAAAATCATCAAAAATAAAAAAAAATTAACACGGAACAGTAAACACTGCTGATGCAAATTATTAAAAAACCAGTTGAGGAAAGAAAATATTGAAACCAACCACAGTTGTCATCATCTTATAAATGAAATATCAAATTTCAAACGATGTTTTAAAAATAATATTCTCTCCAAATGAATTAAGTGATTAATTACCTAACTTTAATGAAATTATATATATGTAAGTTTACTTAAGCTCACATTTGTATGCTGCTTATGTTGTTTATTCGTTTATTCGTATTGTTTTTCTTATGATAATATTAAATCTATCACTTAATTATAAAACATTTCTTCAAATAGTATAATTTAAAGAATAATCTTTGAAAAGAGAGCTATAAAGTTTTTCAATAATTAAACTTAACGTTGGAAAAGTATCTATTCTAAACATTATTCGGATTTGCATCTTTGATTAAACCGACCTTCCCATCTTGAGATATCATCGAGTTGAACCCTTTCAAAGAATAAATTTCTTTCAATTTAAGAAATTTCGATGCCATGCAATTGATGGACAACAAATATCTAGGCCAAAAATGTTTACATATTAAATTGGGAAGCTATAGTTCATCGACTTAGAAAGAAATATTAAATGAAAGCTAATAAATCCATTAGTTGAAAGTTCATCGATATTTTACACTCGTTTTCATTTTTTTGTCTTCCATTATTTATATTACACACAAGTTTCCAGGTTATTTTCTTTTCAATTTCACAATCAGAGCACCGAAAAAAGACTATTTCATTGCTATTTATAAAGTACATGAACTCACCATGACTTAAGCAGCAGCATAATAAAATTAATATCTTCAAACATTTGATCATTGTTCGCGACATAATCTCAAATGTGTCATCAAATGGTTAAACTTATAACACCAAAAAAGATACTTTTCAGCTAAGGATGGCTGTTTCCGTTTTTAAAATAATAAAGAAGACTCAATAATAATAAAACATCGTCACAATTTTCTACACGCAGAACAAGGGGTAGGAATTTGTTTAAGCATCGAAATCAAATATTACTAGGATAGTTAATGACTGTCTGCCATAAAATTTATTTATTTATAGAATTAAGATAAAATTCATAAACATAAGCAATTTTATGTGAATACATTAACTTGATACTTTAGAAAAATTAATAATTTCGACACTTGCAAACTATTCAGTTCTCCTATTATAAATAAATTCATTTTATAGCAAATATCACATGTTCTAAATATCTACCTAGATAAATACTTAAAATTGTACAATTTCCTAATTGCTAAAACAATCATGTACAGTCTCTCATAAGAGTAGGAATAATTACGGTTTAGATATTCACACAAGCATATACAAAGGACTTTAAACAAATCTTCCTTAAGAAATTCACGGAACAAGGAGCTTAATTCGTTGGTTGATGGAACTTTTGAAGAATTTGCAATCGATTTAATCGCAACTGGATATGATAACAAATATCCATTTATAGTGATGATTGCGGAATTAACACCGAGAATAAACACACACCTTCTGTTCAAACAATCCTTAACAGCAATCAACCAAATCTAGCAATTATAGAATTATCTTACAACTCCAATGTATAATCTACAAATTCGTTTCATTTTGAAGATTTGGTCAGACGAAAAAAATATTCATTTGTAAAAAGATATTCAAGATTTAGAGCTTAAAGAATTTGAGTATTTGCTAACTGATAAAAAAAGTATTAATTATGATATATACAGTAAGTTATGCTACTTATGAAATTTCAGATTTGCGAAAGCAAATTTTACTTAATTTGATGAAATTCCTTTGCAGCTCGTTCTAATAGCGTCACGTCTGGAAGCTCTTCATTGTCTTCAAAGGACGAGGATAAAACTCCGGTGCCTCCAAGTTCAATAATTTATTTCTCATATCAATACATTTTAGGTATATTCCTTTTATTTGTTATTAACTTTGTGTAATATTCTGTAAACAGCACGAAATTGGTCATTGATTTCTTTTTATATTCCTCAATGGAAACACAATTCTGTTGTCAGAGAAAATCAATTTGAATGAGCTGGAACCAATATTAACTCAACGAAACATTTTCATTGCATGTTTTCACATTTTTCTCTTTATTCAAATGTTTCGTATTTTTTAAAAACGTCGAAATTTCTCACACCAAAATTTATTTTATCATTATAGGTAGTTTAAAATACTTCAAGATTAAATTTTATATCCTTTCTTGTCAAAAATAAATCCTTTTTTGTTCTTGAGAAATTCTATATTTTTATATGTAAGCTTTTTTTAATGTTAAAATATTTTCTGTTTATTGATCTAGCTAGAATAATTTTATTTGAAAAATAAACTTTTAATGAGTAATGAATTAACAAAGAGAATCAAGTGTCAATCTCAATCTGTTTGAGTTCAGGATAATCGAGTTGCTAAGTCAGTTTATGATTAAACAGCGACCAAAGTTTAAATGAAAATAAATAACCCATCAAATGTAGGCGTCAATTATTTTTAATGATCATTGATGTCACTTTATGCAATGTTCTTTACTAATACGCAATTTCAAAGTCTAAATTCGATCATTTACATCTACAAACTAGTCTTGTCATTCTTAATATTTACAACATCAAGACAACGCATTATGCTATACAATAAGAATTCATCTAAATATTTACATTTGTATGTTGTCAAACTCGTGTTGATATCAATTATACTTAATGATGAAAAATATTAAATGCGAAGCATTATTTGAGATTTAACGTTGATGTCTTAGAAATACAAAATCGTGTGCTGATGACGCTTAACCCTAGTAGATCAGAGCATTTCACGGCTTTTATATTTGGTCAAATATCTACTTAATTTCGTTTCTTAATAAATTTATCTAAACAAATTATTCTCGTGACGATGTTTTAGGCATCAATGATTATTGTTTTCTTTTTCTTGTTGATAAGAATTTATCTAATGGAAAATAATTCTTATTCGCCGTAAAAAGGTTGTTCCCCGTTTGATCGGTTCGTGAATTTTTCTATCGTTCCAGGTATCTAAAACAGAAATATAAAATATAAGATTTTCTTTTGTTCTTAGATTTTTATAACTTAAAAGACTTTGATTTTGTGTTAAATTCCCTCACCAATTCACATGCGTTATCAACTTTTATTAACTTAACATTGATGTTGATTCTCATAACAATAATAATGATAATGCTAATGCTAATAGAAAAAGAGAATAATTAAAATTCAGTCAAAGATCATCACCACACTTCTAATAAATAAACAAAAATAGATTAAATGCGGAACACTATAAAAAAGCTATGATGAGCTTATTGTCATGTTGGCTGCCATTCAAAATTGTGTTATCTGATAAATCGAGCACATTATGTGCTGAATGATTTTCCCTCTTTCAAGTCTTTATTATGATCGAAAATAAAAAAGCCAATATATTTATTTTTAGATTTATTGGTTGAAAGAAAAAAAAACAAACAGAAATTAAAATTGTTGCGATGCACTGATAAGAGAAAGACTAAAATCGACCCGATGATTCAATGGCCCTCTTCAATCAACACAAAAGGAAGAATCAGTAAAAAAGAGAATAAAAGTAAACAAAAGTACAAAAGATTAGTAGTTGATACAAAAAAATAACAGAAAAATTATTCAAATACAATTATCTACTACTGCAATGAATAACGCTTTGCTCTAGTGTCGTATCATTGATCGTGCATAGCATCGTTCGTACATGTGAAGGTGTATCAAGTGAAACTAAGATTAGTTATTCAACAGTTCCATTTACCTTCGGCTTGTTTCTGTGCGTGTTCACGCAATCAACGTTCAATTTTATGTACTCAATCTTACACCCATATGCAACAGGTGTCAATTTTATAACAGTATGAAGTGGAACCTTCAAATATGGCAATTCACTTGCAGGTTTGTCAAGAAAATATGCAAGAACACAACGTAGCACTGCCTGATGCGACACTACGAGTACATTCCCTTGTCTTTCAAGCTCCATCATGACGGGCTCCAAACGAACCACGACATCTTCATAAGACTCTCCACGGGGATATCTATAACTGAATTTGTTTTGATCACGTGCTCTGAAGTCATCTGGATGTTTCTTTTGAATTTCTTCATAAGTCATTTCTTCACAAATGCCCTAAGAGATAAAAGAAAGAAAATAAGTTTAATCAGTAAATATTTGAAGTTCAAGTTTTCAATTCAATTGCAATGAATGTTTTCTTGGAGCCATTTATTGACTATGGTGACAAGAATTGCAGCCGTTTATCACTAATTGCGTGGATAATAAAGTCATTTGTCTGGCTTGTTCTTTTTCTTTATTGCTTTTGTGAGAAATTTACTCTGATGAACAAATGTAGGTTGAGACAAATTTCAGGTAAAATGTAAATTCGTCGTTAAAACAGAAAAAAAAATTATCTAAAATATTCGTCAATGTTCAAAAATTATAAATATACAAAGATATTCACACATTTATCATCATAACTTGATAAAAAAAATAAATTTATTAATCCTCTTTGTATCTTACTTACAGCGTCAATTTCATTTAAAGCCTTCCAACGTTCTTGTGGCGCCTTCACTTCAGCAACAGTCTGAATTGTTCGTTTAAGCCATGATGTCCAAACTCTTAGTCCCTCAATATTTTGTTCTTTAATGAATTCAGCTAATGCTTCAGCATAAAGTTTACCTCGAACACTCAAATCAGCGTCTCCGCCAATCAGTCCTTTCAGATTATGTTCACTTTCGCCATGCTAACAATGTAAAAAGAGAGCAATATCTCAATCAATGAGATATCAAATAAATATAACAAAATATTTCACTTACTCTCGTTAGATAAATTGTTCGTTTTGTAATATGAATGTTCATGAGGAAATAAACAATTCGCGATTGAATATGGCCTTCATGTTTATGTATGATAATTTTCTCGCCGGTATTGTAAATTTTCATGTAAGAAAAATCTTTTTCTTCGGTTTCATGCAAAGGTTGATATTTTTCTTGATAATGTTCAATACGCAATCTAAAGTCATTCATTGCTTCGTCTGTATTCATATTAGTGTAGTCAGGACTACTAACTTTCACTTCAATTATGTTTTGCTCAATTAAATTTGGATCGTCACAAATGGATTCGACAAAGAAAAGTTTAAATTTCTTTTGTTTCACGACAATCTCTTCAATCATTCTTCGTCGTTCGTAAGTTGAATTTGTAGCATCAAACACCTGTTGAGTATCATCAAAAATTCTAAGTGATTTAAATTTTAAATAGGTGAATGTTTTTTTTATTTACAGCAACTTCTCCACCGCCCATTTCAAGCCATTGCACAACGTCCTCTAATGCATGCTTGGCGCAATTCGTTCGAATCGTCATCGCTGCGTTATTGTCGGTACGAAAAAAGTCATGATTACGATAAGCCTGCGTTACATTACGACGGTATTCTCCCAAATTAAAGACTGTTAATATAATAAGCATGAAACATATACATATTCTAAGTATTTCTAAGGTTCAAGAAAACATTAAAAAGAAATACAAACCTCTAGTATTGATTCCAATCCAATTCAAATAACGCGATAATTTCTTTGCTATATAAGTTTTTCCTCTTGCTGGCAAGCCAACCATCGCGATCACATGTGGAATATTTACATAGTTTGCAGTGTCACCTAAAAATAAAACATCTTATAGGAAAAAGAATACGCGATGAGAATTTGTATGAGATAATGTAGTCAATGTATAAGCATCAATTGTTCCGGCGCTTTAGTGGGATTTTTTTCTTAAAAATGCGACATTAAGTTTAAACAATTAAAGTAGACCTTAAAAATGATAGATGATATAAAGGATGAAAAAGCAAGCTTCATAAAATGCCAGAAATTGTTCATCATCATTTTTATTTAATTGCGACAAGTGAGGCTTCTCTCGTTGTTGATGTAATATCAACAAGGGAAACCACACAACAAAAGAGGATAATTAAAAATTAAATAACCAATTAGAGTTTCTGATGTCAATTATTGAGCAGATTTATGTTTACTTTCTTTTTTACTTCATTATCAATTAAATTTGTGTTGCCGCACGCTTGACCCTGTGGTATAATAAGCTTGTTCAAATGATTAACCAAATCTATCACATGAACGATGAAACTAATTTTTCTTTGCATTTTTTTGTGTCGCTATTTATAAATCATCATCTGTTTACATTTCAAAGTTATTTTTCTTCTAAAATTATTATGAATGATGATGATGATTTTTAAGTTTCTTATTTACTAAGTTTCATTTTTATTTTGATAAGATTGGAATTAAGTTAGAAGCTTTAGTTGTGGTAAATAGTTTATTCAACTAAAACTCACCCGAATGAGCAAATGTTTCCTTATGAAGAAATTTCCATCCCAATGATTGCATGTCCATTATTTTTTAAAGTAAGATGTTTCTTGTTGCCGACTCTTTACCAAACTGATGATTTTTTATCAAATTATTTTGTTTCTACACACGGCTTTTGTCAATTTTTTTCTTCTCTCTTGACTCTCGCGATTTTAAAAAATGAACTTTTGAGTATTCAATTACGAAACTTGTTGTAGTTTGTCTATAAATATGATGAAGAGTTGTTTTATACACTTTTTATTCTGTTTTCTTCAAATTTGATTCACACTCCGTTCCGTCACAAATTCCCCTTTTTCTTTGAACGATGACACACCAAATGAAATGATGATTTATATTTTCTTACTTATGCTAAAATCAATATTCAAATCAGAAGTCTATAAAGTGTTAACTATCCATAAACAATTCTATAATTTTATTGAATTTGTTAAATATCTCTGAAGTTTAAATTTTTTTATAAAAGTTTCCGATGAAAAATGTTTAATATTATTTTTATAACTGTTGAAATAAACTGATTCTTCTTCATTTGATGTTTCAGCTTGTTAGCTTTATAGTCACTCACTAAATGAAAATGGTTTATTGTCGTAAATGAAAGTTTAGATTAAAAACTCAAAGCAAATTCTTATCGTGACAATTTTACGAGACCTTAAATGATGCCATTTTATTAAGACTCATTTACTGTCGGCATATTTAAATTTTTCAAAGCAGTTATTTTCTTATGTTTTTTTTGAAAGAATCCTAAATAAATATTGAATAAGTCTTACTTAATCTACCTATATAATAAATATAGACTGTATTGATATCTTATTCACTATGCAATATATTATTTTCTCAGAACATTAAAATATTTCTACAAATTTGTAAATTAAAATGTAAATATAAATTACATGATTCCAATTTTCCTGTATAATGAGGTTTAAGTGTCAAATAATATTCCCCAGTTGGGTTTGTTTATGATTTATTAAAAATAACTTATCTTGTCAGCTCAAATAAATATTCTAAATCATATNNAAAAAATCTTAGAAAATAACAAATTAAATTAACTATTAATTTAAAAAAGTAATTGCTCGTTATCATTTCGTACTTTCATTTTGTTCATTGTCAAGAACTGTACTTTTACGCACATTATTATATTGTGCTTTTATTTTGTGCATTTCCACAACTGCACCCATCTTACGCACATTATCATACTGTGCTTTCATTTTGTACTTTTACGCACATTACCATACTGTGCTTTTATTTTGTACTTTTACGCACATTACCATACTGTGCTTTTATTTTGTACATTGCCAAAACTGTACTTTTACGCACATTACCATACTGTGCTTTTATTTTGTACATTGCCGAAACTGTACTTTTATCGTGCTAATTTTTCTCAGCTGTACTTTTCTAGAATGCACATACCAATCTGTGCTTTTCTATATTCATCGGGTTAATTTTATCTAAAAACACCCGGAAATTCCATCTTTCAGGAATATATCAGCTAACTGAGGGATTTTCATCTCAAAATTGCAGATGAAAACGATTATTTTAGGGAAAGTTTGTCATTTTCATTTCCCTACAAAAAAACTCCCTCAGTTGCTTATTTTCATCTTTCCTCCGAATAAAAACTACTTTATGCAGAAAGTAGCATTCAATCTCAATGAGATTGATCGAAAATACTTACAATTTCGTTGAAAAAGAGAATTAATCCTCGTCGCCAGATGTTCCGGTGCCAAACTGCACGTCTGCACGCCTCGAAGTCTCGGTCTAAACTGACTCAGAACTCGTGCCAGTACCCACGAATAATCTAGTGTCTAGCCCCTCTGAATCCCACCGGTACACCCAGTTGGGTTTGTTTATGATTTATTAAAAATAACTTATCTTGTCAGCTCAAATAAATATTCTAAATCATATCGTCTGTCATTTGTTTAAGATTGTTTTTCTTCATTTTGACTTTGAATCAACTCTTAAGAACAATTATTGTGAAGAAAAATAATGGGTAAGTCTTAAATATCGATTTAATCTTTATATGAAATGTATTATGTTGCATCATAAGAGAAATAATCTCTAATGTGATAATTTTTTGTGAATTAAAGGTTCGTTGCAGAGAATTGACATTGATAAGTCGCTTTATGATCAAAGTTCATTTGTTGGTAGATTTAAACATTTCATGTTCATAACTGATCCGCGGTGAGTTTTTTCTTATTTCTAAAGTTCATTAAGATTTTTTTTATAATTTACTTGATTTAAATCTAGAACTGTTTTTGCAAGCGATGAAGAACTCAACAATGCTAAAGAACTGGTACAGAAATACAGGTGAGAAGAACATGAAAATACAAATTTCCGTATTTTTGTGAGAGAAAACAAAAACATGATAAATGATTCCTAAATATATCATTTCTACGGTACTTACACAAAACTTTCTACACATGTTGTTTATTTACATGAAATCTAATTCAAATCATGACCTTGATTCATGTGTCTTAAATTCATTTTCGAGTGAAATAAAAATAGAATAAAATGCACATGAACATGTTTTTCACCGTTGACGTCTTTTTTTTTGCTTTCTATTGATTCATTTCTTTTGAATTATCTCTAATAGGTTGAGCCAAGAGCCAAAAGGAACAACGAACGAACAAATCGTGTATGCGAAAAAGCTTTATGAAAGTGCATTCCATCCAGATTCTGGAGATTTACAAAATGCTTTTGGCCGTATGAGTTTCCAAGTTCCCGGAGGAATGGCAATAACAGGTGCAATGTTGCAATTCTACAAGTAACGAAGATATTCAACAATGTTGAGAATCATAATTTATTGAATATAAATTATTTCCCAGGACCGTACCAGCTGTTGTCTTCTGGCAATTTGTCAATCAAAGCTTCAATGCATTGGTCAATTATACAAATCGAAATGCAAACTCGCCTATAACGACGACGCAATTAGGCATCGCTTACGTGTCAGCGACGACATCTGCTCTTGTTGCTTCTTTAGGATATAAATCATATTTACAAAAACGATCGAACCCATTTTTTCAGCGATATGCGCCATTCGCTGCAGTTGCAGTTGCCAATTGTGAATAAACATCATATGCGACATTGTATTTAAATTTTTAAAGAAATTCTATTTTTTCAGGTGTAAACATTCCCTTGATGAGACAAAACGAGTTAAAAAATGGTATTGACATTGAAGATGAAAATGGAAATCTTCTGGGAAAATCACGCTTAGCTGCTGCATCTGGAATAACTCAAGTTGTAATCAGTCGCATTGTAATGGCAGCTCCTGGAATGATTGTCTTGCCAGTTATAATGGAACGTTTAGAACGCCGTGAGTGGTTCCGACGTTTGAATGTTTTACATGCTCCATTCCAGACCATAATGGTTGGGTGTTTTTTAATATTTATGGTCCCAACAGCTTGTGGGCTTTTTCCTCAACGTGCTTCACTCTCAACAAGCCTCATTCAAAAAATTGAGCCAGAATTTTATAATGAAATTGAAACAAATACCAAGGGAAATGTTCCATTTAAAGTTTATTTTAACAAAGGCTTGTAAGACGTTTTCTCCTTTCCATTATTGTCGATATTATTACGTACATAAACTTTACAAGAAACTCTAAAATTCCCTTTTATAGAATTGTAGATAGACAAAAAGAACAAAAATGATATTTGATTAAGAATAACAAAATTATTTGACGTTCCTTTAATTTAAACTCAACTGAGATTTCACTGGCTTTCCATTGTGTTCCCTTGTCAATAATAATTAATTATCTAGTGCATAGAAAAAGGTGTAAAATAAAAATATTCTCAAGGTTAAACTTTAAAATATACAACGTAAATTTTTTAGTAAACTTTGAATTTGATATCCTTTTCCTATTGTTTTTCATATTATATAAATCAAAATTTTTGAGTATCTGTGCAAAAATGGATGTTACAGAAAATAATCCTTTTGGACCAATTTGTGCTTGTAATGTTTGTCATGATCGAAAAACTCTGCCATACTGTCAGGTTACTAAAAGCCGAAAGAAAAAATGTTCAAAGAGACGACGCCTTGTTTCAACTCCAATTTGTTACAATGCAGCATACAGACCACTTTTCATTCGACACTGGGCACCTGGAATTCCTTGTGAATACTGTCTCCGGATCGGTTGCACAGGAAAACTTCGTGATTTTGATCCGTGTATACTCTATTAATTTAGTTTATGGAGTATTAAATTTAGAACATCTACATTCTTATTATAAATAAAAAATTGTGTACTGATGCTCCCACAAAAATAAATATTCCTTCAGAAAATCTTGCAAGAGCTTACCTTGACAAATTTTTCTTTTATATTTTATTCTGATTCTTTATTTTCAGGTGAATATTTCGATGAATAATTTTTTTTTTAATCTATTAATTTATTACCTAATCATTCCCAACTTAAAAACTTCGAGGCAATATAGGAACAAAGTAAAAGTTTTTGTATTAAAATATGGAAAATGTTTAAAATTTAAACCTAATTTGACTTCAACAATTTTAATTTTCCTGGATGACATTAAAGTTCGAGTGCTTAAAAAATGTTGAAAGTTCCTGTAATTCAAAAAATTTCTTTTCCCGATTGCGTTGTAGTTTTAGTTTATTCACTGGTGTACCTGTTTCGAGAAAACTTTTAAACATTTAACAAATACAAATCTTTAAGAAGAAGCTCACCGATATAACTAAGAAGAACTGGTAAGAAAATGAGACCGTGTGCGGCTCCAAACAGTACAATGCCCAAGTACATTC